ACTGTAAAATTTCGAAAAATATGTGAGAAGATGCAGAATTTTCCGGTAAATCTTCTGGTGTTTTCAAAATTCTTATGAAATCTGTTTTGGGATCAAGACAAATATTTTTCTATTTTCAGTGTGTCGTAATTAGGCAACTCAGCAATCTTCAATATTTTGAATAGTGCACAAACGACAAAACTGTTATCAGAGATTCAAATAGCAAGTTTTGTAGAGAATTCAATTCTCTATCGATTGAGCTTAGAACCAACTCTGCGGACTATCGGATAATGCCTCATGAACAACGAATGAAAGTGTCCGATTTTATCTGGGCCACCTGATACATTTTGTCAACTTCTTCAAACTAAATGTTCATTCACAAAATAAATAATAAAAACTTACTTTCGAAACTATACCATCTGATTTGTCAGGTAAATTAAAACATGTATAATTGTTTGCTTTTGTACAGATGAAGTACAAAAAAAAGGTATCATCCAACGACCAGTACGTAACACTAAAATGAAGAATATCTCTCATTATGCTTAACTTCGACGGATATTCAAATAGATACGTATTAATAACTGCTATAACAATCAAAAAATACTCACTGTGACAGCCATCAGTACCAAACAGGTACCTGTTCGACTCTCAAAGTTGGATTACTTTTATAATTAGTAGTAAGCGGGGCGCTTGTTTTAGTGGTCGCTTATTTCATTTAATGTAAGTCATTTTTGACTGACATGAGGTTAGTTTTGGATCCGTCTTCTTTTTTTGGTGTTATATTAGTGACGATGCTTTGACTGTTATAGCAGCTGTCAACAAGTATTCATCTAAATATCAGCCGATATTAATATAATCAAATCGACGAGCTCTATCTATTGGCTGTATCAAATTTTATTCTTGAACTATTATCAAGTGTTAACGTATCTTACAAACGCCCGCAAGTTGTTGTATGAAATTTTCTCTTCTAGCAGATGAATTTAGAGAATACCAAAAGAGATGTCGCACAGTGCCGCATAAATAAATATCGGTTTTGTTTTATTTTAGAAAAAACGAATTTTTCTCATGTTTTATGATCTACTGCCTAGCTAACGAATCTCTATTTGTTGACGTGCTTCAAATCAACGTATGATGTTAGTTCAGAATGGATATATCTCCATTATTTGTGTTCTTCACATTCATAATTTACAGATAAGTTTTCATTTTGAACACGGTTCCACGGTTCATTTTCATTTTGAACCGATGACATGAAACTTCACAAAGAGAAGATAATCAACAATTCTCATTCTCACTGAAATTTTGTCGTAATTTCGATGTTAAGAGATAGAGTTGTTTCTAATTATATACATATTTACATAGTATTGCAACTTTTAATGTTTGCCCAGTTAATTACATGAATCAAGTTTAGAACCACGAACAACAATCTTTCGATAGTCATGAGAATTTTGAAAGCAAAATATTCCACACAATTTATGAATCTGAATGAAAAATTTTCCAAAAGTGAGCAGAATCAGAAAAACTTCGCATTATATTGTTAAAATATTTCCTTTTATCATTGCGAATGTGCGAATTATCATTTTCTACAAGAGAAAAATCTCGCGGGTATATGTCAATCACCTAAACCTCGGAGCCTAGAGGTTTCCGAACATGCCGAATCTATTAGTGATGTTAGTTTTATTTGATTTTGACTCTCATAATGTGATTCTAGAAAAGCTGGATTTTGATTTGACAGGTTTCGGTGGCATCTTTATTAAACATTCAGCAATAAATGAAATTCTCTTAGAATACGTTCATTGGATAAAGCAAATTTTTCTCGATCTAAAAATGTAGTTTTGATTGAAGAGGTTTTTTTTTTGAAGAATTTCTAGATCTTTAATGAAAATTTGAGAGATTTTCTCTAGTAAACCGGGGTGGTAAGTTAAATTTTCTTTGATGTTTGCTTTGTACTTGTTAAACTATACAGTTTAAACTTATAAGATTGTTAAAGCCAGATCTAATTACTAAAAGTTTTTTTATTAGGTTTCTAGAAAACCTTTGGAAAACCACCGATAGGAAAAATAGAATTTAACCGAAAAATTAATGTTTTGCATATCCGGCAGATAAAATCAAAACCGAACTTTCTATCGTATCACCATTGCTAATGGTGTTGGTTTTTTGGAGACTCTCATAATTTTTTATCGTGACATTTTCAAATGTCGAAAACACATGGAAACATCGGTTATTGGTTACACTGATTATTGTCGCAACATCTGTTTTATTATAACTCTTCACATTCAATCGATTGTTTTATCTGCCAGATATGCAAAACATTAATTTTTCGATTAAATTCTATTTTTTCTATCGATGATTTTTCAAAGGTTTTCTAGAAACCTAATAGAAAACCATTTAGTAATTTGCATCTGGCTTTAACAACCTTATAAGTTAAGAGCTGTGTTTGTAAATTACTAACTCGCCTCCTAGTTAAATTTTTCGATCAATATGATATAGTGTATAGCCCGAAATTTGAATCTCATTGTCTGAAATGACATCAGACAGTCATATCTCTCGTAAACATATCACTTGAAGACTACTGGAACAGTCGTTTAAAACAAAGTTTTTCTAGCGAGTCAATATGTTTACGTAGGTCCTGAATATTGTATGGGAATATTTTGAAATTTGAAACAGGCTTTCCAGCAGATAATTGAGTAGAAGAAGAATGTATATTACCATTGACAGATGGCAAAGGCGAAGAAAAGAAACAGACATGTTGGTGTTGATTAAGAGAAGAGACAGGTATTTCAGATTGTCTACCTGTTGTACTACTGAATGGACTGAACGTGGTTATACGTTATTTACAAAATTGTATGTATTTTTCTTAGCGAAGACGAGTATGTCCTGTACTTAGTCATGAGTGTTACTGCAGTACGGTAGTTCAAGTAGATATCGACCAGTTTAAACTTGAGAATTGGACATTTAGACCTTTTTTGCGTTTTGTTATCATGGAGCGCTGGCTAAGACACTGCAATATCTTGTTTATAATCAAAATTTAGAGGACTTTTTTTTATCCCTAAGTAAACTGACCAGTACGTAAAATGTTTAAAAAGAATAAAAACCCAGTAATTACTGATTAACAAAAAAAATCAGTAAAAATGTAGTATGTACATCAGAACATTAATCAAAATAAGTACATGCAAGGAAAAAATGTGAATTAAAAGTGTAAAATAGTGGTTCAATTCCCATAAATTCCTCTTCCGCCTATAACGTCGAATGAGATTAGCAAAAACGTATATTATATCAAATATTGATATCCATTTTCGACTAAATCTGGCATCTGTATATTGAATAAACCCGCTTAATAATCCTGAATAATAATAAGGGTAAAATCATGCAAATTGCATAAAATAATATATGCTACTGCTCAAAACTATATACATTGATGATAGATAAAAAGTTTAGTTTTTCTGTTGTTGTTTTTGTTCTTTTTCCAATAGTTCTTTCTCTTTTTGTAATTCATCTCGTTTTTGTCTTAATGTATCTAATTCCAACGTTGTTGGTATTTGAATATTCAAACTTGTGGCAATAGCCTTTATTGGATCATCACTCCAATCTTTGGCATTATAAATATTGTTTAATGAATTACATACTGTTGATACAGCCGATCTACCACCATTTGCTAGTAAATTTTGTTCAAATGATGATTGACAATCATCAGCATGTTGTAAATATTTATTAATGGCATCAGAGTCCATGAGAATTGATTATTAATTTTAAAAAAAATGATCTGAAAATTAGAAAAAGTCAAAAGTAAATGTTGCATTTGTGGTACCTGGTTCTACTTTACTGTGATAGTACGAGGTAAGCGACTCTAGAGTTGAAGTAAGAAACGGTAGGATAAAGAAAAGTTGAAGTGTAATAAGTCATAAGAGTGCTACCGTTCAGGTTAATTAACATTGTACAATGTGCTACAATCACGTTTTACTCTACAAAAACGTACTATATGTATCTAGATAAAATGTCATGAATGATAACAGATACATGAGTTAATCATGTCATATATAGAAATACAGGCGTAAACATGTATCGACACTTTACATTTTTTGTCGAGTCCATGACTGAGAACAGTCCAGATAAATCTGTATAAATGTCTTGTACGAGCATTTCTCCTTCCTTAGAGACGAAGAGATATGTGTTCGTATAAAAATAATTGAAAACAAAAAAATTCGTATATCACTTGGCTTTTGTCATTACACGTCCCCTTGCATATCCACTCAATAATGAAACTTTCAAACAACAAAGAGCAATTGAACTAACAAAAATTTCTCACGACAATATCCCTTCGGAAAATTTCACCCTGTTTTAACGATGATTCAAATATAATCAAGGACTTGGACATAAGGTTTGATAATCTAAGATATTGATACTAATTGTGGCCTTTTAAGGACACTCGAAGAATGAAACAATGCACTTTATACGGCAGTAACTCCACATTTTTAGCATTGAGATTATTGGTGAAACTCGATACTTGCACATGTAGTTGAATTAAAGAGTATAGAAAAAGGATATACAAATCTGATAAGAGTCTAGCCAAGTTTGAAAAGAATTGTTAGTCCCAAAATTCCATCATATATCAGAGTTTTCATGTGACATTTCTCCATTTTTCAAAAAACAGCTCAAATTACTAATTTGATTTCGTAACTTCAGTTGCGGTAACTGCAAGCTTAATAGTATTTCCTTCTTTTGCTTCTTGCGCCAAGCTCTTCAAAGAAAATACCTCAGTCATTCCTTCATTTGCTTTACTCAAGTCAATATCTCTCATTTTTTCACCCATCTCTTAGTTTGATATACAGATGAGATCCTTTCTGAAATCATTAGAATCAGATGTTGAAGGTGAGAATCTCGATTGTAGAGTTCCTAAGATACTTCAGTGATTTACCGTAGCTACTGGAAGCTAGATAAAAAAAATTCAAAAATATTGAAAATTTTTCAAATAAAAAATATTGTATCATGATGCTCATAAATAGTGTCTGCTTCTGATTTATTCAATGGGATACACATTTTTATAAACAAATGCTAACTATTATATCTGAGTATGAGTCATCAATTTTTATTATTCCTACTTGGAATATAGGGCTTGTTCACTACTGCAGATGTTCAGTTTCGTCATTTTTTGAATAGCCAAAGCTATATCTATTCTTCTCGAACAATATTTTGTAATTCAAAACTTGATTTACCTACTTTAATATACCACAATCTAGTTACTGTAATACACTTATTTAAAAACGCTAAGACCTTTGGTAAAATCTTTGAATTTTTTCTATGATTTTCTAACTTATTGAATTTGCAAAGCATAATGTACTTACCTTTGACAACAACAAATTGTGAAACAAATATATGTCAAATTTGAACAATGACTTGTTTTTAATAAAAATCGACACGTACTATCACGAAGACAGAATGAGGCAAATGACGGTACCAACAGTATTATATAAAAGAAAATAGCAGAAGAAACGATGAAAGCAGAATAACGACTTTATCTATTGTTAATGGGATCAAAAAAAGGCTATCTCTTTCAGTAGCGCATCCCTATTTTATGTGGATGACACGTGTACTAGAGAACGGGAAGAAGAAATGACGTTTCACTTTACGATTAGAAAGCAAAACCATTTATCACTTTTATATTTTTTTAAAAAAATAAAAAAATACTAAAATTTACGCACCGTTCGTATTTTCGAGGACAAGTGAATTATGAAACAGATGTATAATAGGTCAATTTTTTTTCCACATTTTTAGTGTAAAATTCTACTGCCTGTTTGGGTTACCATGATACCTCCCCTACGTAGCCAATAACTCAAAACACGTATTCACCTATATAGCAGCCAAAGCAAAGAACTTGACACTTTGACGTTTTTAGGTAATACCAAAGAACTCAGACACCAAACAGTCACTGATAGTAATTTTTACAGACAATATAGTTCTTCCAAAAAAACTGCGTATCAATGAATCGGATACAATTGACCTCGAAACAGAAGAAATGCACACGGTATCAGCAACTACCAATAAAGGTGTCAAAGGTTTTATTCCAGTTTCTGACCGACAGGATCTTTTTATCCCTATTTATAGCGTTATAATGCTATAAAACATGCTTTTTTTGAAATTATGGTATTACAACGTTATAGATTTATCTCATTAAAACCCAATAGACGTAGCCTTGATAAAAATTTCCATTGCATTACAACTCTATAAATTTATAGCATTATAATGCGTTTCAATTTTTTTATCGCGTTACAACTCAATCAGATTTTTCTACCGCTAGTAATCCGTTAGATTCTAATGTATTATAACACGTTTGAGTTTTCTACTTCAATATAATGAGCTAGAAATAATGCGTTATAATACCTTCAGCTTGGATGTTTTATCTAATTATAACGTCATAAATTAGGAAAAATCTTTTATAGCGTTATAACTCATTAGATAATGCATATTGTATTGTAACGAGTTAATATCTAATAGATTACAATGCATTATTCTTTTCTATCTTATTGTAATGAGGCAAGAAAATGGAACGCGGCGTAACACATTAGATATTAATGCATGATAACGAGTTAGACAATATATAAAACGAAAATACACGGTTTCTCGTAAAGGATACATTTTCATAAAATTCTAAGACTGTCAATCGATTCCTCTCGAAAAGTTGGTCCGGGGAAAATTACTTTAACTATATCAGACATATATGTTACTGACATGAGTAGGGATGTTCGGTTCTCGGTTCTCGTTAAGAACTGGAACCGCGGTTCGGTTCTCTTGCTTTCGGTTCTTCATCGGGAACCGAAACCGTGCTACCGGTTCTAAGAATGGAACAGGAACCGCGGTTCTTTTTGTTTCGGTTCTAACTCGAGAACCTGAACCGCGGTTCTGGAACCGAGAACCGAACATCCCTAATCATGATTCAACAAAGATAGAGATGTGTTATTCGAGAAAATGAGTGAACTGTTAACTTAATAGTTTGTCTGGTCTTAAAACTGTTGAGAACCGACGATAGAAAAGTACAGCATTGAAAGAAAAAGAACAACTGTGAACGGACGATCAAATTTGTATTTCTTTATGAAGTGCAAAAACGACGGGCGAAACAATAATTCGTTCTTTTCTCTTCTGCCTTATCTTTTTGTCTTGCCTTTCTTCGGTTTGTTTCGGTTCTAAGTCGAGAATCGGAACCGCGGTTCTTTTCCGTTCGGTTCTAACTCGAGAACCGAGAACCGAACATCCATACTGTAGAATCACTTTTCCTTCAATTGGCGACAGATAATCAAAACGAAAATATTCCAACAGATGACGATGATGATAATGAGTTTGGGCCTACTCAATATCTTGGAAGCACGACAAAATTTTCAGAATTAACAGTCGAGCAAAAACGATATCGAACGAAGAATATCACAGAAACACTTCAGAGCGCTGCTGCGAATAATGATCTATCCATGAATCAACTTATTGGTTATTTACTTTACAGAGTAAATTATCACTCAAACCGTATGCAGGTTAATCTTATTTAAATGTTTGCTTGCGCAATATCTATGGAAAAACTAACTTCTGCACGTCCC